AACAATTCCCCACCCAAACCACTGCAGAACCAGATCATTCCTGCTTCCCATCTCCTCTTGTTAAATGGAAGCCCCTTATTTATTCTTACAATGGAGAGTCCCTCGTGATACTTTGCCAGTGCACGTCAACTGCAACCTTGAGACATCTTCCTCTCCGGGGATAAGAATGTTATTCAGTTCCAGGCAACTTCAGGGTAAAGACTAAGAGTTCTTTAAAAAGAAACAAAACCCAACACATGGGGATGACATATAGCTTTGAAGAGATAAAATAGGAACTGGTAATTTATACTGACCCAAAATAAACATGTGGAGGACAGACATGTCATTGAACAGAATTGTGCAGGATACTCATACAGTTTAAATACTGCCTAAATATTGCAGTTTATCATCCTACCTTGCTAAGATTATTGCTATATGTTTGTTCTTCTTTACTGTTTTGAAAGTTGCTTCTCATCTAATTTTTCAAGCCAGCCAATATGATGTCATCCAGCTCCACTATTTGTCTCTTATTTATGGGCTCCAAGTTGTTAAGCTCTTTTTCGACTCTGCCTCCTCACTCCTGTAACTTGCACGCATGGTGTTCTGCATAATCACAATCACATTTATATGTCAATTTCTACAACCTCACAGACTAGGTAGACCAGGGGTCAGCAAACTTTTTCAGCAGGGGGGCCAGTCCACTGTCACCTCAGACCTTGTGGGGGCCGGACTATATTTTTTTAAAAAATAATAATAAATGAACAAATTCCTATGCCCCACAAATAACCCAGAGATGCATTTTAAATAAAAGGACACATTTGCTCATGCAAAAACACGCTGATTCCCAGACCGTCCGTGGGCTGGATTTAGAAGGTGATTGGGCCGCATCCGGCCCCCGGGCCTTAGTTTGTCTACCCATAGGGTAGACCATCCCATTAGATTGTCTAGGCACCAGAACAGAACTGGCCCAATAAGATTACATTGTGGTGGGTTTATTTTCATTTTCATTTTCAACCAACAAAATCAAGTTGCTGGAGAAATTTTTGTATGAGGATATGAAGCTTGGAGCTTTTTCGGTTTAGGAAAAAAAATGGTGTGTAAGGGAGGGGGAGGATGAAATAGAAGCTATAAAATTTTGCATAGTGCTAAGACAGTGGAAAGAAAGAAGTTTTGAACACTCTCCTATAATTGAAGCCATGGTCATCCAATGAATGCTGAAAGACTCTGGACAGACAAAAGGAAATACCGTATTTTTCGCTCTATAAGATGCACCAGACCATAAGACGCACCTAGTTTTTGGAGGAGGAAAACAAGAAAAAAAATATTATGAATCTCAGAAGCCAGAACAGCAAGAGGGATCGCTGTGCAGCGAAAGCAGCGATCCCTCTTGCTGTTCTGGCTTCTGGGATAGCTGCACAGCCTGCATTCGCTCCATAAAGACACACACACATTTCCCCTTACTTTTTAGGAGGGAAAAAGTGAGTCTTATAGAGCAAAAAAATACGGTACTTCTTACAAATCACACAGCTAGAACTATGGAAAATGTAGTGATGGCCATCAATCTGGTTGATTTGGAAACAGGATTAAACAAATTCATAGAGGGAATGGCCAATAGTCATGAAGTCTAGGTACGATCTCCGGTATAAGAGGCCATAGGCTTCTGAGTGTCAGTTGCTGGGGTCCCTAAGCAGAAGAGAGGTATTTCCATCATGCCTCACTTATGAGCTCCCATAGCCAACTGGCTAGCCATATTGATCAAGCAGAATTCTGCTTATGTTAAATGCTTAGGCTCCACTGCAGCTGTGCCCCGCCCTCCACTGATGGATCTTTCATTCAGCAGAGCAGGAAGGGGTGGGGGAGGGACAGAAGAGTTGGGGTCCCCCCCCTACAAAAGCTTCCTCTCTCAGAGTCCACTGTGCCCCTTTCCACACTGTTAAAGGTTCCTCCAACACCGTGAAGGAGGTTGAGGGATGGGGCTGGAAAGGAAGGGAGAATTCAGTGAAAAATCACTCCCCTCCCTCTTTCAACTCACAGAAACCTTTGCTGAATCAAAAAGCATTCTGTCAGGGAAGGGAGGGATATAATTGGATACAGCCCTTACTAGAAAAGTGGTTTATCATGACAATAAGGTTTCAGTGCTATTGTATAGTACCAAGGCTACCTTTTCCAACATGGAGATTAATGTCAGGCTCAGAAAAAGTAGTTTGTGAAACAGCCCAAAATCCTTGAGTTAGAGCTAACACGGGTTGGCAGTATTAATGTTAAGACAGTATAAGTGTGATTTTAAGGAAACAAGGAAGGCACTAAAATTGTTGTTTTCCTGCTTGAATACTACATTTTATTCCTACCTTAAAATTTTAACTGTACAGTGGTACCTCGCAAGACGAATGCCTCGCAAGACAAAAAACTCGCTAGACGAAAGGTTTTTCCGTTTGCGAGTTGCCTCGCAAGACGAATTTCCCTATGGGCTTGCTTCGCAAGACGAAAACGTCTCGCGACTCTGTTTCCTTTGTCTAAATAATAATTCGCAAGACGAAAAATTCGCTAGACGACAAAACTTGCGGAACGAATTAATTTCGTCTTGCGGGGCACCACTGTAATTCAGTTAAAGTACAAAAATACCTAATTTTAAAGCAACTGAATTATATTATAAGTTATTTCTGAGAACAGGTATACTTCTTACACAATCATTAACTTTATAACCTGAATAGCTATCTCTATGAAGATTTAATTAACTATTATTAGGTTTTTTAAAATAAAATAATAATAATTTAACTTCTTTGTTTGTTGGCAAGCTAAATATATTAGAAGACAACCATGAAGTCACTTACTAGTAAGCCCCTTGAAATTCAGCAGGAGAGCACCTGAGAGGCTGAGATTTCAGAATTGAAGCCTTCCTACATAAAAGACTAGCTCTTACAACCAGACTTGCCAGTCCAACTTGTGGTGATGCATCTATGACAAGTTAAAGGCAGTTCAGCATATTCCTCAAGGCAGAAGAATGCCGAAGAAGGCAACATCATGGATCAACTCTGGGATGAAAATAAATTAGGATGTAGATGAGAACTCTCTTCAGTATCCTGTTTCCTAGACCCGTTTCACACATCCTACAGAAGCACCAACAGAAACAGCACAAAGTGATTCCTGCTGTCAGGTTGTATGTAATTCTGTTCCCATTTCTGTCAAACATGTGAAGCAGCTTTAAGTCAATCTGTTCAATATCCACGCCCTCTGCGAAGTTCTTCTCTAAAGCCTGCATGGAAATAAATCACATGTGCTAAAGAGAAGTGCTTTAACAAACAGCAGGATTTATTTTTTTAAAAAGAGAAAAAAGACTGTATGCAACACAGTGGACCAATCCTCATTTTGCTTTGATTCTGTAGCACAACCCCTTACCCCCCACGTTCAATCCAAATACATAAGTTGTAGAAAACAAGTACAATGTATAATCTCGCATACATTAATCATTTTTTGTCACAAACCAAATGAAATGGCACAGGCAAACTCACTGGGTTTTTGTTTTTTTGTATCCCAGCCTGCACTTATGGATGGTTTTATGTTCCATGGGGTGTGGGTGGGTGATGGTGTGAAAGCTGTCTCAAGCTTAACCCCCAACCCCACATCCACTCCCCCTTCCATCACAAATTGGGTTTCTGTTTCTGTTTCTGTTTTGATTTCTTCTTCCTCTGTTTTATCAGGAATAAACTCTCATCCCTGGGAGAGCTACCACTTGTGTTCTTTCTCCGTTTCTTCTTCCTCTTTTTTGCTGTCTTCAGAGGAACCTGAAGGATTTCTGCTTGGCCTCCATTTGCTGGGAGGCCAAAGGTGCCCTGTGCCCTGGTTTTCCTGCTCTTTTTAAGAGCATCCCTGTTACCACCTCTGGGAAAGTCCTCTTCCATGTTATAGTTACTCTGGACCACCTTCTTATCCTTCCTTCCTTTGGGTATGTTGGCCTGGGACATTTTCTTCAGCTTTTTAGGATGCTTATCTCCTCTCTTCTTTTTCTTATGGCCATTGTCTATGCGTGGTCTCTTCAGAGCCTTTGGCACAAGGCCTGCATCTTGAAGTTCTGTAAAAACCAAGACACTTGATGATACTTAAGAGGTCAAATGATTGATACACACACACACACACACACACACACACACACACACACACACACACACCTAGTACTGTTTATAATTTGAAGGCTTTGTAGGGCACCCTGCATGCAAAGTAATTAAGCAGTTTGATGAAATATGGATACTCATCCATTTTTTAGGTCAGCTGCAGCCAGAAACTATGAGCAATGTTAAAAATCTTTTACAGCTATATCATTGAGTTCATCTTAAGTCCCCCAAGCTTTATAACTGTTAGAGCTAAATGCTCAACCTCAAATAGGAAATGTAATGGCAACAGTTGCCAATATCACCCAGTAAAGTAGTTGGAAGTTATAGGCAGGTTTCAAAATAACATGATTTACCTTTTATCAAAATGCCAACTCTGCATTCCAGTGTTTTAGGAATAAAAAGCCACAAATTTGAGCACTGGTTGAAGAGTTCAGAGCATTTCATCTAAATGCAGCAGCTCAAACATACAATGAAGCTAAAAAAGAACCCCAATTTCTCAGAAAAGATCAAATGTGGCTTGAGTGCTCAGTAAATCATCCCATAACTGTAAAATATTTCTCCTCTTCGTTTATGTACTCTGAAGCCTGAATTTCAGGCAGGTCTGTCTGGAGCCATATAATCAGAGAAGGTAAATACTTGTTGCTTCATCCTGGTTCTGAAATATCCCCACTTCTACTCCTTTAAATTATCCAGATTAAGTCAAGAAGTAGCAAACCTAACATGGTTAAAGAGGAGCAAAACAAAAATGTGGACTTAGAAAGCTCAACAAATTTATATCATACCTTGCACTTTTTTCTTTATTCTCTGACGACGTCTCTTGAAATCGTAATTGTTATCATAGTAATAGATGAAGGGGGAAGTAGGAAATGTCCCTCCAAACATCCGCCTCTCTGAACATTCCTGCAAAGTAATATTTTAATGGCAACTTTTAGGCACATTTTCTCTTTCTGCTAGATTCAGTAACTCAAACCCTATCCAGGAAAACAAGCCAAATGAACCGACATCAGTTGGTTTTGCTGACTTGGGGGTGAAGAGATGGTTGATAACTGACATTAGCTAATATCCTTATGTGAAACCAGAGGTGGCTGGTCTACAAGAGAAACACATTTCTCTGTTTCTGTTTGAGTATCATCACCAATTAACTGTAAGGGTAATATCTGGTGCATAATTTGGAGGAGGTGAACTTGGACAGTAAGATTTTTAAAAAAATAATAATCTTAATTTATAGGAATGTCCTATCCTGACGTTCTGATATCAAAAAACACACAAACAGTTCACATAAAAAACAAACCACAGTGGTACCTTGGAACTTGAACGGCTCCGTTCTCAAAAGTTTGGGCTCCTGAACGCCAAAAACCCAGAAGTAAGTGCTCCAGTTTTCCACATTCTTCGGAACACAAATGTCCTACGCGGCTTCCGCTGTGCAAAAATCTAGCTGTCGGCCAATCGGAAGCTGCGCATCGGAACTCAAACGTTTCAGAAGTCGAACGGTCTTCCGGAACAGATTACATTCGAGTTCCAAGGTACCACTGTATCATAAAGCAATTGACAGACAGGAGAGCTGATACCTGAGCCAGAGGTCAGGTTTGACTTCAAAACTACCTGTAACCACTGCAGAGGTTGAGAACCAAATTCAGTGGTCTGCCCCCAGAGACTGATGGGAACCAGAAAAAATTCTGGAATCCTTGAAGAAATAGCCTGCAGCCTTAGCTACTTGGAAGTCTGAGGCCAAGCACCTGTTCTCGAGCTTCTTGCAGAAAAAGGCAACTGGGAATGTTGAGAGAACTGAGGCAAGTGGAGTGCCTCCCATCCCTCTTGATAGCTCAGGGTACATCATCTTGCTGCTGCTGAAGGGCAGACATCAGATCACACACGCTTAATTGGCTTGAAGGGCCAGGTGTTTCAAATGTCTGGGGATGGAGGAAAAAGAACATGCAGACCAGGTTGGATGAATACATCTCCCTCTTCATGCTGAATACTCTATGCTTCTCCATGATAGGTCACCATCAATAAGCAAAGGGCTTGTGGAATGAAAGATGTTGGGTTTGTTTGTTTTTGAGTGAAAACCATGTTTCAAACATTTGAGAACTTAAAAAAAATAATCTGTTGGTAGGAAATTTACAGCTGAGTGTTTCTGAAAAGGAAGAATTGCCAGTGACTTTCCATCTGTTTGTACCACATGTTTTCTAAGACCCCTTCTCCCCTAAATACTTTCAGATAAGGCTACGTGAAAAAGCACGGCTAATCTCTGATGGCTGTGGAACACGCTCCCCCCTCTCCCAGTGTCTTCTTGGAGATGTTGCACAAAGTCTAAAACTTATGCCACAGACAGATGGCCTTTGCGCCCCTCAATACGTTGACAGTAAAGCCCTAGTGGGTGAAAAAAGCACAAGCCTCCAGAAGCAAGAACTCCAGCTTTTTTCTTTTCTTTTTAAAAAATAATAAATCACTGCACTGAACAACCATCTCAATAGTGTATGACACGCACTTTCTCAGACCTCTCTCTTTCAGGTAAGCTGCCACACACTTTGTACTGTTAAATACTCTGGGGGATGCTCCTTAGCACCACAGCCAACACACAGAGGACGGAAAGCTCAGCCTGTTACCAACACACCTGAGAAGCGTTCTATCTGACTGACAGCTTGGAATGTGAATGCAAGGCACATCTACAAATCCTCTACTTTCTTCAGCCTAGCAGCAGTAGGCACAAACTCCGAATTGCTACAAGAGGCCCTTTGCAATTTAGGTCAGTGTTTCCCAACCTTTTTTGGGCAAAGGCACACTTGTTTGATGAAAAAATCTCGAGGCACACCACCATTACAGCCCCGTGACGTCAGCGCGCAGCGTCACGCCGGGAGGGACGCACGAAAGTGTAACTTTCAATTTTTTTCCCTCCCCCTTGCCGGGGAACCTCCAAGCTTTGGGGGTGGGGGGGGAGGAGGCAGCAAAGCGAGGGACTGAGGGACTCCTCCAACGACAAGGGTTGGGGAAGAAGAGAAAGGGCTATTCCGCTCCAGTCACGGGAGGGGAATATGTACTGGCCCAACTGGTGTGTGGTCTTCGGAAAGCGGGGTGCGGGAAGGAAGCCTAGGCTCGGGGTCCACCGACCTCGGTGGAGAAAGGCAACAACCGGAGCCGATGACGAGCCGGCGCGTGCGTGCAGCGGCTGGCCTCGAGCTCGGGAAGCTGCGCGCGGCGATGTTGACGCGGGGCGCGCGAGAGCTTGGGGGCGGGGCGGGAGAGAGAGAGAAAGAGTTGGCAGCACCAGGCGCTGTTACTTATTGCACTGCGGACGCTGCCAGCAACTGCGGTGGTTGTGCGGCGGCCGCTGCCGCAGAACGTCCTCGTCAGTCAGCTGAGCTGCCTGGCGGCGTAGGGAGCCGAGGGGCGGGGCTTCCTTTCTGAAGGAGCTGAGGGTGGGGGTCCTCCGGCGCCTTCGGCGAAACGGCGCCGGCCCAGAGCGCTTCTAGGAGGCTGCCTTTGTGCGCGACGTAAAGCCCTCTTTCCCTCCCTCCAGCCCCATGTCACATGTGGAATAAATAAAAACTGTGGCTGCATTGTAGCTACATCCCGGCCTCAGATCCCCGCGGGATTTGCCTAATCCTTTGGAAGCCCCCTCCCCTCCCCGGCCCCCCATTGTTCTGTCGGGGGTCCCGCGCCCCCCTCTCGCCTGTCCCCCGGGCTTTGTTCTCGATTTGGAGAGGCGGCGAGGCTCAGCTCTGGCTCCGGGAGAGGAGGCTGCCTTCCAGCCCGCCGTGCGCCCCGGGAGCCTGGACGGCGGGGACGGGAAGGAAGGCGCTTTGGGGGGCGCCGTCCCGCCGCCGCCTCTCCCAGCAGCCCGGCAGGTAGGGGAGGGCGCGGAGGGGCGCCCGGCGCGGAGCTGGGAGCCTCCGCGAGGCCCCGGCGCGGAGCTGGGAGCCTCCACGAGGCCCCAGCTCGACGGGGCGGGATAAAAAGGCGGCGCCGGCTCGCAGCGCCTCCCCGAGCGCCCTTTGCACTCCGACCGGCGGAAGCGGAGGCTACGCGGCTGCAGGCCGCCCAGCCTGGCCGGGGATGGCGGGGCGCCAGGTACCGGCAGCCCTCGAGGGGAGGCACCGGCGGCGTCCAGGGACCGCGCCCGCCCGGCCCGGGAGGCGGTGCAGCGCCAGATGTTGCCGCTGCTGGAGAGCCTCCGAGCCCCGGGAGGCTGCGCGCGGCGGTGGCGGCGGCGGCGTCCAGGCGCTCTGGGGGATGCGGGAGCCGAGGGGGCGCCCGCGGGGGAAAGGAAGGGGAACCCCCTCCTCTGCAGCGGGGCCCGAGGGCCTTGATCCAGATGGGCCGTGGCGCTCCAGCGTCTCCTCCGGTGGAGAGCGGGCGACCTCCGGTTGGGGGGCAGCAGGGGTGCCAAATGGATTAAAATATTGGGGGGCGCCCAGGTAAGCCCCACTCCAGGATAGATGGATTTCTATCCTCCGGGGGTCCTCCGGCGCCTTCGGCGAAACGGCACCGGCCCAGAGCGCTTCTAGGAGGCTGCCTTTGTGCGCGACGTAAAGCCCTCTTTCCCTCCCTCCAGCCCCGTGTCACATGTGGAAAAGGGGGCTGGATCCAGTGACGCAACTCGGAAAACTGTTAGGGAAGCCAGAGCAGGAAAGTGAGTGGGAGGCGTCGCCGCCGCTTTAACCCACGTTTCCTTTTTGAAAGAGAAACCAGTGTTTCCCAACCTTTTTTGGACTCGCTCGCGGCACACCAGGCAACAGCTCGCAGCACATTAGTGTGCCGCGGAACACCGGTTGGGAAACACTGATTTAGGTAATGTTGGGGTGGCTCTTTCAATTTATAGTCTTGCCGTTTCTGAGCATAACTTTGAAATGTTCCAGAAATGTTAACTCTTCTCGATAGCTGTCTCTGGCTTGTCCCTTTAACCCTCTAGTTGCTTTTCAAATAGGAACACTCCTATTCTCTGCCCAGATTGCTTGGATCCCTGTTCTGAGGAGGAAATGTTGAGCCTTTCTACAGGAACGGATAGGGAACCCATTAGAATTCCCCACCAGACACCTCACCACTTATGGTTTGAGTTGGGGGAGAGGGAGCTGACAGATAACCTCAAATGTGACAAAGGTCTGAAGGAACGTGTGCCCCATCACACCAGGAAAAACACACTGGATTTGCAGATAACCACCACCTGCCATCCCACACGAGCAATTACATTACACAAATCCATAGCTCCACTCCTCGACCTAAAATCCTGGCATTTCAGGGCTGGAAAACAAGGGAGAAGTTGGTACTCTGCCATCTGTAGTGGATCTTGACTTTATTTGTTGCAGCCTCGAGTGATGAACACAACCTCCCCAAACCTTGATTAAAATTCTTTGCTGATAGACTGTGGGAAAAGGGACATATCCTCAGCCATCAAAGCAGGAAACCAGAAACCAATTTTATCACATTGGAAAACATCCGCTCAGCTCGCCAACCATTACAGGAGGCTAGTGAAAAAAATGTGTAGGTGGTTGGCGGGAACTGAAGGAAAAAAACGGAGCACCTGCAGCCAGATATCAGGATGAGGGCTCAGGGTGCACAGGCTACAGAGCCTGCCCCCGGGACTTAAGGTTTTCCTGCTCCTTATGCAATCGTTTGGCAGAAGACCTGCCACTGAGGGGTTGCAGGGCAGTACTGACAGATTCCTAGATATCTCTGGAAATAAACCCTTTAAATCAGGGCGTGAACTTGAGGAATTCCCTCTGGGTAGGCAGCACCCCAGGATCAACCACAGAAAATGGGGAACTCACTTCTTCCCAGTTCACCTGTGAGATGAGCAAGGCTGCGGCATCAGGTTAGGTTGCCTGGACCCAACAGGCCAATATGGGCATCAGACACATCTCGCCCATGAGCCAAGTCATTGTGGGAGACAGGGGATGCAACTGAGACCACATGCAGCACCCCTGAAAATTATGGGGAAATGCAGGAAACCTGTGGAGGCATTTGTGGAATCAGCTATTGGTGCTGCTTATCCCTCAGGGAATGTGGTGCTTGGACAGGTAAGGCAGATGTGATTATGTCAACGGCAGCAGAGATCAAATGATAAACCTTTTTCACCTTCCACCTTATTTCCCTCTTCTGATCAGGGTTTGCTGGTGCTCCCAAGCATGACAGTGCTCATAGCTCCACCACAGCTTTGTCCACCCACCCTAGAAGGCCAACTCTATCCATGCAAGGTCACCCCCACTTATTCCTCCCAGCAACAGGCTGTTTGCACATCATACTAAAGTGTGGTTTAGCAAATTTTGGACACACACAACTATTCTGGTGTCGCTGCACATACATTTGCTGCAACCTCACTATGTTCTCAACTTCTCCCATCCTCAGAAGTAACAGGGAGAGAGGAAGTGAAACAAATGCCTTTCTCTCCAGAGTTGATCACATTTACCTGTGGGTAAGATCAGATGTTAAATACAGTAAGTAGACTCACAACTTGCACAGGAGTTACATTCCAGGGAACTGCGCATAAAGCCAAAATTGCATATAGTCAGAACAACTCCAAAACAACTCCTGGTGACTATACCTACTTTTCTAAAGCTGGTAAGCCTTGTGAGGTATTGGAAATTCTCATGGGAGCCTCCCAGAATCCACACAAGAGCATCCTAGAACCCAGTAAGCAAGGCAGAGAACTTAAAAGTTCTTTCTGCAGCAGAAAAACCCAGCGCAGAAAGCACTTTTAAGCTTTCCACCTTATGTGCATTAAATTTGTGCAATTGCAACTGGCTGGCCGCCAAGTGCGTAAAGCTGGGTTGTGCAAGGTAATGCAATGCACACAAGCTGTGAGCTGACTGTATGCCTAAGGCCTTATTCTGTGTTGAAATTTCCAACTAGCCTAGCTATTCTGAGTGGCTGAAGTCTCTACACTGCTGAGTAGGGGTACGTGATCAATGCTTTCTTCTTAGCAGAATAATCAGAAGCAAAGTTAGACGCTGCTAGGACTTACATATCCATAATGGCCTTTCTCTGCACAGTTGTAACAGTACACGGAAGCAGAATGCTCAACTTGTGCTTCAGCCTGCTTCAGTGGTCCCGGCCTGGTCTGCAACAGAAAAAATAGAAAGAATTACACATAGCAAGATCCCAAATACAAATAATTTAGCAACACACACCTACAACCTAATCAATAACAGTACAATTAGAGATGTCGCCCAATTCTAGATTTTGAATTAACCTCATTTATCAATTAAGGCTGCGTTTCCATACACATTTATCTGGAAGCTAGACTAATTGTATGTTCATGGGGTCTTAGCCTAGATGTAAATTCTGCTAAAAGTGCATGAAGTTCTAAGATCTGTCTTGATGCATTTTTTTTAACAGCACAGTCTTTAAAATGTCTACTTGGAAACAAGTTTTGTTGAGTTCAGTGGGGCTTATTCCCAGTAAAACTGTGACCTAAGTATCTTTATAAATGTGTGTTTAGCAAACTTACAGCTAGATCCTTAACCTTTTCAGAGTTATCTGCTTGCACTAGCTGTCTCTGATGAACAGGTCCTTAGATTCAAGGAAGAGAAAGAACTACTTCTGATGCCCTTGAAAAACCTTGTAGTCAAGGTGAAGGGAAAGGGAAAGGGACCCCTGACCATTAGGTCCAGTCGCGGACGACTCTGGGGATGCGGCGCTCATCTTGCTTTAGTGGCCGAGGGAGCCAGCGTACAGCTTCTGGGTCATGTGACCAGCATGACTAAGCCACTTTTGGCAAACCAGAGCAGTGCACGGAAACACCGTTTACCTTCCAGCTGGAGTGGTACCTATTTATCTACTTGCACTTTGACGTGCTTTCAAGCTGCTAGGTTGGCAGGAGCTGGGACCGAGCAACGGGAGATCAGCCCGTCATGGGGATTCAAACCGCTGACCTTCTGATCGGCAAGCCCTAGGCTCTGTGGTTTAGCCACAGCGCCACCCACGTCCCTGTGCCACCCACATCCCACCGCCTCAAGGTACATAATACTAAAAAGACCATGTGCTGAACTTGGGATAAGACAGGAGTAGCCGATGTGAGGTCATCCAGATATTGTTGGACTCCAACTCTCATCAGGTCCAGCCAGCCTGATCAATGGTCAGGGATAATGGGAGTTCGAATGCATCAACATCTGGAGCGGGCTACATTGGCTATCCTTGTGGAAGGCAACTTCTGATTTCTTAAAATAATGCTTGGGGTAACACAATATTAACTTACTGAAAAGAAAAATAATCTGTCTTCTATTTTATGAAATAAACATATATCACTGAACCTATTCATCAGCGCGATATATAGCCTCTTAGCCACTCTTAAAATAATTGTATGGAATATAAAAAAGGGTAAATAAACCTACATCTGTAGACTTGTGGTGCACCTACAGTTTTATGATTTTATTTTCTGTTGAGTGCAAATAGCAGACAGATTAAAAAATTGCTGCTTATCACTGTTTTTGTTCCAGAGCTGCTTATTTTAGTAAATCGGTAATAATGATTGGAAATACTTCCAACCAATATTATCCTGCTCCCCAACGTATAGCAACAATTTTTTTTTCCATTGGGACATGACTGTACATCAGCAACTGGAAGTAGAAACAATGGGAGCCGGCTTTTCTGTTCCATAAATCTTGCAAAAATCCTTAAGGAGTTTTGGATGCATGAAGAATGTGTGTTCGTGCAACATCAAAAGATGTCTGCAGGGCACCTCCTTTTGTTTATGTAATAGAAAAGGTCAGATTTAAGGAGACAAATTAAATTGAATACTTGCTATTCAGATTAACTATGCATATCTCCCTACAGCTGTCCAAAAGGCAAAGGAGAGGGGGGGAAAGAAAGAAAAGAAACCCAGTATGTTGTCAAGCTCACTATATTCTCATTATTTCAGATTTTAAAAAGCATTTAAGGCCTCTGATCCAATAGGTACAAAATGAAGTATTCATGATAGTAGCTGCTCTGTGTTATAGGATTTTTTGTTACAAACATTTAAATAATCTATATTTTGTAGGGTGATATCTTGAAGATTACTTCACTATCAATATATAGAAGTAATAACCCAGTAGATAGCATTACCTATGAAAGGTCCATCCCATCTGCTATTCTTGCTGAAAGCTTTTCATGCACCAGTAAACTCAGTAAATATCAGAAGATAAAGCATAAGCCTACCACGCCACGGATTTACTCCTAATGTCTCCTCAAAGTGCAGCCCCGATGCAACGATTACAAATGATTTTCTTCTAATGTCATTTTACATAACCCTTTTTTCTGCATGAGTAGTTAGTGCGGAATGAGTGAATGAATGAATGAATGCCATTAAAACAGTTAATCATTATCTGGGACACTGGCCTTCCTCCCTTCTCTGCAAGGAATCTCCATGACAAAGGCCAAGAGATCAAAATGCCAGGGCTGCCTCCAACGCCTATTTCTGACAGTAATTTTTTATGCAAATGGAACTGCTGGGCAGCTCTTTCTGTGACCTTGAGATGCCCTTATCTTAAACTGACTTTGATCCAGTGAGGTCTTGCTTTTATGAAGCTCATTACTTCTTAAGATATGCATCTGACTTAAATTTCACTAATTAAAAGGAATTGCCTATTCACATTTCCCCCCTGTTCTATCTTCCAACTACACACGTACACAAGGAAAAAAACCAGCATGACATGAAATGAACACTAATTTCTTTTCATTCAGATGTGATTTGGGAGAAATTTGCTCAAGAATGATGCTAAAAATTATTTATTATATTTACACCCTGCTCTTATGAGTCACTCCCAAACAGTCTCCTATCAAGATTTCTGTCCAGGTACATACCCACTTAGCTGCGGCTTCAAGTACTCCCACAGCATTCAGTGAAAGCACACTACAATATTCCCACAGCTGACCATGCAGTATGAGATTTCAACAACACTTTTGGCCAGAATCCAAAAAGCTCCTTTAGTCAGATCCAAGACTCCAATGACCTGGATTGCTCTTTTGACTTTTTCCCATTTAACCATCGCCTCCTGTGTCACACTGTGTCACAGATAATTTTGAAATTCAAACTTCCTTTCCTACTTTCTTGTCCCATCTCCCTGGTTTCAAAGGTGAGGCCTGTGGGCTATTATTTTCCCTCTCTAGATTATGTTTTGGAAAATTTCAGAAATTCATTACATGAATCCCAAAAAATTTCCAGGAACAGAAAACTTTATGAAGTTTCCTTTTTGTTGGGGAGGGGAAAGTAGTTCAGTTCAGGGTAAAACTCCCACTGCCACAGGCAGAGCCAGAATTTCCTTCAGACAAGAAGCTGAGCGATTCTCTCGCCCTCTCAGACTTGGTAATAATTAAGCCTAAGGCTAAACTTTAAAATACAGTTATTCATGACTTGTAATAACTATAACAGTTAAACAAACAAAAAACAACCAGAAAAAGTTTGAAATCTACTAGTTTGGGTCCTACCCTCCGAAGAACCATAAAAAAATCTTACTCCATCTTCCATCTTCTTCTTCTTCCATGTGACAGTCCAACAGATATTTGAAGATGGCTATCCTATCACCTCTCAGTCTTCTCTTCTCCAGGCTAAACATACCCAACTCCCTCAATCATTTCTCATAAGGCTTAGTTTCCAGTTGGAATCTGACCAAGGCATTTTTTACTTCTCACTCTCACTTTCTATATACAGAATACTCTGGCACTATCTTCAGTACGAGAATCTTCATCCCAAAGTAAACTTGCTCTTCCCTACCACAGAAATGCTTTTAAAAAGACAAACCTGTCAGGCCCCAGGAAGATGCAGATGACAAGCTGAGATGGCACACTAGATTGGAGTGAAGTAGCATGTAACATTGCCATAGCTTTGGGATTATAGTCAGCTAGCAACTTCATGTCCGGCATTGTTTGGGAAATCTAGGAAACTCCCGAATCAGTGCGGTTTTAAAATTAGGTGTTAAATATCAGTGGAATTCTGAAAGTTTCAGTCTGCCATCTTGATTCAAAATGATATCCAATTGTATCTAAACATAGACAAATGTGCTCCCTGATCTCAGGAACCATCATGCAAAATTTGGTTGCAGTATCTTAAGAAGTGTCCAAATTCACAGCAAACAAACAACTTTCCAAAATACAGCAGATTTTTCTATCTAAAACAGTGTATTCCACTAGCCACAACTCCTTGCTTTCACTTCATTTATAAGGCTTTTTCTCCTGAGAATCCTTAAAATTTTACAGTAAGGTAAAGGTAAAGGTACCCCTGCCCGTACGGGCCAGTCTTGACAGGCTCTAGGGTTGTGCGCTCATCTCACTCTAGAGGCCGGGAGCCAGCGCTGTCCGCAGACACTTCCGGGTCACGTGGCCAGCGTGACGAAGCTGCTCTGGCGAACCGGCACCAGTGCAGCACACAGAAACGCCGTTTACCTTCCCGCTATAAAGCGGTACCTATTTATCTACTTGCACTTAAGAGTGCTTTCAAACTGCTAGGTGGGCAGGAGCTGGGACCGAACGGCGGGAGCTCACCCCGCCGCGGGGATTTGAACCGCCGACCATGCAATCCGCAAGTCCTAGGCGGTGAGGTTTTACCCACAGCGCCACCTGCTACAGTAGCAGCACCTTTTTGTGAGCTCTTTCCATGGCATTGCTATCATGTTTAAAGGTTTGCAGGAGGCAGTAGACAGCACATGGGGAAACTGCAACCTTTCATTTGGGAAAATCCTAAGCATTATATGCTAACCAAATGGCCCTCAGCTGAAACAGAATTTGCTCAGAAGGGCTCTGAGCAGGAGGCAGTGACTGTCATGTGTAAGCCCTCGCCTTTCTCCAGAAGATTAATCCAGACAGACCACACAGCCTGAATGAAATGACGCCACACTACAATATAGACTCATGCACTTTCTTCATGCCATTTCTCCAGTCTGAGTGTGATAGGCAGAGAGAAAGAAGAAGCAGTGGCTATGCATTGGCCAGGCGAATGTATGGTGGTGAAGTTGCTGTAAAAGATGGAACTGGAATGGGAAAGAGGGGAGAAACTGTAAAAGATCTGGATAACTTTAGTCACTGGAACCAGGAGTCTCAAGTTATAACTTTCCCCACCCAATGAGCTCAATTCAAAGATTGAGG